GGAAAAGTTAGAAATAAAGAGGTACTGTTAGCAAGAAATTGGCTACATATATATAACAGAATATAAGGCAACTCTGTAAAATAACGTGGCAACTCTTTATTTCTTTACATCAGGTGGAAATAGAGTCAGGATATATTTCTGAGTCCCTACAAGACCGATTTCAAATAGGCTGCATAGAATTAACTCCTTTATAGAAAACACTGTGAAATGTATGCGTATAAACATGTATAATTTTGCACTTATTTATGTAAGGAGACCTTCCTTAACCCCTTTCTCTATCCCGAAGGTACACGTGAACAGAAGGCACACTTGGCTGCAGAAAGAATACACACATGTGGTTCTGAGCATGTAGACTGAGATGGCATGCTGAGAACATCCAGAAAACCGCATACTTCACTTGGGCTTCTAGCACTGCATGGCCATCACGTTACTTTTGCCCATCAATTTACCCTGATCCTCATATGAAGTCTTACATTATTTAAAACAAAGGCATTTCACTCCGTTTCCTCCTCTTCACTCTCACAAGTTGACTATGCTTCTGTGTTTACTAGAAAAGGATACTTTCTTAAGTTTTCATTGAAATGAAATCTTCTAGTCTACACACAGTCTTCCCCCTCCTTGTGATCAACTGTTGCTATTTTTCTTCCCTTTATTTTTTCCCCACAGGGTCCTGTGCTCTTTCACCTCCTCTGGATTATTCCGGAAATTGCTCACTTTTCTCATCTTTAGTTTTCCTTTGTCTATGGGAACCATTCACTTCTACAACTGACCGGGCTGTCTCCAAACATTCATATTCAGCAAAAATCCTCAAGAGTGAACCCCATCCCTGTGTGTTCAGCTTCTGTTTTGTCTTGGTGCTTCTCCAATTGCACTTTCATTCCCACCCCCACCACGCAGACATTCACAGCCAGTGACGTGAATCATCTGCAGGCATCGTTCCTTCTGTTGCAAAGGTCGGCTGTTCTTTCCCCTGCTGACCTTCCATCAATATTACGTCAGCATGTGGCCACCTCCAAAGATCTCCTTCCTCATACTCTGCCCAAACTTAGCTTTCTGGAAAACACACCTATGCCTGATTTTCTCCTTCCTGCATATGTTTTTCTTCAGTAAGTTTTCATGGATCCAACTCATCTTCTCTGTTTCAACATGGTGACATACCCCAATGATGGGGTCATTCGTCAGAGCTCTCCTATCTGTCTCCACTCAGTTTCTAGAAGCCGTATCTGGGCCCAGAGAGTCTTTCTTCTAAAATCCAAGATCCTAGACTCTTAATGGATGAAATTATCCACGTGTCCCATTTTTGGGTCCCAGTAAAGCTGACCGTTATGTAGATGTGAACTCCCGATCATTTCTGACATTGGTGTTGACTAAAGCAAGCAGAGTGAAACACGTTTCTTCTCCCCACACTTCTGTTTGAAAGGACGGTGCTTCTCTCTCTATCTCAGTAAAGCTACTGGCCATTGGGACAGCCCGTGTGTGCCAGATCCCTGAACAAATCTAGTTGCAATCAGAAGTTAGAATTTTTCATAAAATCCTGAGCCAGATCCCTAAACAAACCCTATCTGTAATCAGAAGTTAGAATTTTTCCATCAGCTCCTGAACTGGAAATCCCGCGTACGGGGTACAGTTTTATTTCAGACAATAACATTTGCTGCAATAAAAATCTACTTATCAGCAAATATACCTTCTCTCTTTTTCATTTCAGACCTTTAATCATTGTGAGTCAAACTGAATTATTCATAATTCTTAAAACAACATAATGTTTGGGCATGTTTGCTATAATTTAAAGTAGCAATTTAGATGGAAAGAAAACACTTCTCTTTATTCTTCATTTTAGCATATAAGTAAGCAATTAATCTCGGTTTCAGTTTATATGACTGTTTGGTAGTAATGCCTTCCCATCCATTTACACATTTAACTCAACATGCATTCTGTGATCTTTATTTTTTGTTTTTGTTGTTGTTAGAATCTAGCCCTTGGGCAAAATAAAAGAAGTAATTACTTTTTGTCAAAATGTTGCAAGACTAGAGCTCCAGGGTTATAAGGGAGATTTCATCAAGCCTGTTCGTCTTCTATTCCTACCATTATTTTACTTACCCTGAGAGCCCTTACGAGACAGAGCTCATCATTAATGGAGTCACTATTCTACTTCTAATTTTCACAGGGGGTTTTGGGGATGTGGTGTTATAAATGAGATATATTATGTGAAAAAAATATATAGAAGTGAAAAGCTGTATGAATGGTCTCCTTTGATACATTTCCATTTAAATGGCCAGTTTTATTAAAGTGCAAAGGGACTACAGATCACTATGCCCATCTGATCATTAGTTATCGCATCTCTTAACACAACTTTTTGAAAACAACTTTTCAGAGAGGGGCTCAAAGTTTACTTGTACTTTTAGATTTATTTGTGAATATATATTACAGAGCATCTGGTTTTCACCGATTTATCATTTATCATCGTTGGAAACTGCTGGATTTCTTACTGCTTGGACATATAGTTTTCTAACAACTTTTTCGGAGAGTAGCTTAGCATGTATTTGTATCAGAGTGAACACTATCTGGCCCCTAAACAAGTGCTTCAGAACTCCAGTGATGCTTTCGTAGTAAGAAGGATGTGACAACAAAGAAGAAAAATGTATTATCACTTTTAATACTGATCAACTCGGAATCCCACCTTGGCAAAAATCTTGCATGACCCTAGCAGAAACAGAGTGGATTGAAATAGGCTACAGTGTGAAACAAGAAAGGGTATTAAACTATTTTTTTCTTTTTCTATGGGAGTCTCCCTACCTTATTTTGGAATTTATCTATCTTAGGGGAAGAAAACCCACACATTAAAAAATCAATCAATCAATCAAAGTTTGAAGTCCCGGCCTCTGACATAGAGGCTGCTGGACAGATGTCTATCAGTGTGAGTTTGGGTCCATGCACAGGGAGAGGCAGAGCGGGTGCAGGGCTGCAAGGAAGCCAGGACGCTGTGCAGGCTGACCATGGCCGAGGGGTCAGCGCACACGCCCCTTCGGCGGCGGCCCAGGCTCGGCCAGCTCAGCCGGGTCCTCCGGTCCCCGCTGGCCATTCGGGGCACACGGGAGCTTCAGGCAGGACCACGGTCTGGGGACAGGTGCTTATTTTCACCTGGGGGGATGGCTGAAGGGGCGTCTGCCAGAAAGCACTGCCGATACCGGGGAACAATTCCTTTATCCCTGGGGGTGTGAGTGGCACAGATAGCGGCCTTTGTACCCCTTGAGGAAAGTCCTTCTTGTTCTGACAGAAGCCCCCAGCCCCCCGTGAGATTCCAGGAAGTCTCTTCCTGGGAGGAACGCAGGGGAGTGGGTTTAGGGGGCACACAGCAGCCCCAGCAGTGAGGCTGATTTGGCGGCCAAGCCGGTAGTCCTCATCTCCCACCTACACCATCCATGGTCGGGTCCCCGCCGTCCACCAGCACCTTGTTCTTGGCTTGTAAGCCTGACCCAGACTCTCATCCCTCAGAGCTATGAGCTGCGGACACGGAGGCTGCTAAATATTCGTTCACCATCAAATGTTGGACATCAGGTACCAAGACGCGTCCAAGTGTGCCCTCTGCCTCTCTGTGACAGCACCGCCTTATCTTCCTGTGGCCTCATTATGGCTCCTGCTGGAATAGCAGTTCTTTGTGCCCGCGGCTCTATCGGCATAGAATCTGAGGTGAAATTTCTCCGTAGGGGCCTCTGCAGGAAGCGTTCTGTCTTTGGGAGCGAAGACCTCCGAATCTACAAAACCCAGAGCCTCAGGGACAGGAGGTGAGACTCCCTAAGTGGGTCACTGGAGATGCCAATAAGAGAATCTCCCCTCAAAAAATGTGCGTTGTTCCAGACTCGTGGAATCTTCCTGTTGGAGACACAACAGCAAAATACGTACTTCCTGCTGGATGGTGTCACACCCTTATAAAGGGCAGAATCACCTGTGATGTGACCAGGTCCCCCAATGCTTCCACAGGCCCGCTGTGTCTGCGCCGATTCAGGATTGAACAGTGGATGCTCCGTACTGGACCCACTCCCCACTCTTCTGCTGGAAAACGGGTCCTCACTGAGTTAATGCTAGGATGGTGGAGATGAGTAAACCCCTGTAGGTAAGAAAGGTAAGTCTACCTTCAGAATGTGTGTTCAGGTTGGACCACTGCTCCTTCTAATATAAAAGGGGGTTGATTTCATCTGCTTGTCATCAAGCGGCTGGGTCGTCTCCTAAAGAAATGCTCCCTAGGATTTTCCCCGTTACTGGAAAGCAAGGGACGCGATAGTTACAGTAGCCACGTGACCTCTACTAGGCGCAGCCCATGCACATCGTGTGGCCATCAGGCTAGCACTGGGGTGGCCAGTGATGAAGGCTACATGTCGTCAACCAAGCAGTTCTGTCCACCTTGTTGTCTAGTGGCTACATTCTGTGGCAGACACCACGCACTGCAAAGGTCTCTGCCCTCGGTGTCCGCCCCCATACGTGTCACCTACACCGAGACTTGCTGGTGTCATTCTCCTTCTAGTCTCCTGATGTGACAGTTAAAGCACTCAACGCTGATCACACACCAACCTCAGGCTACTTCTGTTTCCACATGTGTGGATGGACTGGGTGCACTGTTTAGAGCAATGGCTCCGTGCCACTCTCTCTTAATACCTCCTAGGGGCTGAGCCGTCCCTCATTTCTGAACTGACAGTCATTTCGGAGTCACATCTGCAGACTGAGCTGACCCATCCAGAAACTCAGCTCAAGCTTCCTCCTCCTTCTGTGCTGGCTTGTCATAAGGACCAGCCATCCAGGTGTGTGCTGACAGGTGGGGGGTGCCATTAGTGGTGGATGACTTGTGGGTCTGCTTATCTGTGTGTGACACTTGCCAGTGTCCTGCGATTTTGCTTAATCTATCTTCTGAGCCACCCAAATTGGTGACTCAGTGGTTACATGATAGCCTAGGTCATAGAGGGCGGTTGTGACTTCATGGCCACTTGTTACCCCTGGGAGAGGAGCTCTGTCCCTCCCAGGACCCAGTGGCATGTTGGGAATCGTTTCACAAAAGACATACAATTTTTCACAGAAGACGGCCTGACCTTGCTCCAGAATCCTGAGAGCGCAGTGGGGCTCACGTCTTTTCTCATCACTAACATCTCTGAAACTAGAACGTGCCAGCTCTGGTGGCCTGGGGGCCCTGTAGCTTAAATCTTAGCCCAGGACTGCAGCAGGCTCCTTCCTGCTCTGAGCCTCCTCAAAGTGACCACCTTCGGAGTCGGCTGCTCTCTGAGCTGAAGCAATATTCTCGAGTGTGCACGCTGCTTCCACAACCTGGCCTACGAGACACTGGGTGAGTCGGGAATCTTCAGAAACTGAGGCAGAATCCCTGTTACCATCTTGTGGCAGGATTCCCTCTTCTTTGGAAAATCCAAAAAGACGTTAGTCCTAAGACCTCCGACTGACTGGATGAGGCCCAACCACATAATAGAAGATACTCAGTTTACTGATTCTGTTAATCATACCTAAAATATACCCTCCTAGCAGCATCTAGACTGGCGTTTGACCAAACAGCTGGCCGTGCTAGCCCTCTCGAGTTGGTGCACAGAGGTAACCATCATAGGCACCGTTGTGCCTTATTCGGACAGGTGTGCAATTTGACACTTTCTCCCTTAAATTTAACGTGTCCCAGCCTTTCCCTACCCACTGGACATCTAAGTATTTTACCTACATGGCGGGACTCTGAATGTGCGTAGACCTGATGTCCACCCTATGGAACATGTCTGTCTCCAGCACGACTAAATGACTTATTAGCATGATGCCACCCATTTAGTGGATTAGTGGGATATCAGCAGAATGTTCTGACAATTCGGGTCTCTCTGGAGGACTTGATGGCCGAGGTGGGATATTTAACCTAGGCTGGGGCAAAGCTCTACATGCACAGCGTTGTTTTATCCATGTGGATATGAGTGTGTTCTGATTTCCACCTTCACCAGACAATCGGTACTCGCTCACTCTGGTAAGGGGAGAGGGCATCAGGCACTCGGGCCTGGTGAAGTGTGTAGAAGCCTCTTCTGGTCTTCCGAGGCCCACATGCACTTTGCAGGACACTGGCCAGCAATTGAAATGGGGATATGACACGTACCCCCTTTGTGCCCTTTCCCTTGGTAAGAGTGGTTCTTAATCCTCACAGATGGGCTATTGCTGTTGTTGTTAAGTCTTGTTCATACAGGGTGGGGGACAGTTTTGAGGCTTCCACTTGGGAATTTGTATACGACAGCCTCTAAGCCACTAGGTAAGGCCCCAAGATGTGAAAGGTGACAGATTCAGACATGCAAACTCTATTCATTTAAGAACTGCGGGCTTGGCCATCGGGCGGGTCTATGGACTGAGTAGGCATGTCGTAGACAGACTTTAGTTAGGACTTCATTTGTCACCTCATCACTATGTGCTCCCAACTTAATAAGGAAGCATAAAGATGCTTGAAGTCTCTGAACGTGAACGCTGCTACAGGCCTGTGCACTGCGGTTACCCAGAAGAAGTTATTGAGCATAGCATTCCCCTTGCCTAGAGCCAATGACTTTGCCAACACACATTCTATGTTGTGCCTGCGCTGTGTGTGAATTATGAAGATTCACAACATATCCAAGCCTTGGTGTCATCATCAAGGAAATGAACATATTAGAGCAAGAAAATGGGTAGATTTTTTCTGTGTCTAACTCGAAGTAATCTGATTATCAATCATCGTCCCTTTTCTTGTAGCTAGATTGGTACAAGTCCCAGAGAATGCACTTGACACATATGAGAGAGCTCAAGAATTTAAATCGTTATGGGATACATTTAACTGGGGTGAGCACTTGAAAGACACAAATACTCCCTCAACTAACAACATAACTGCTTTCAATCATCATGGAATGTTGCAAAGTTTAAGATTACAGCATTCAAGTGAGACAAGATCTGTTCTTACTGGGGAAAAAAATTGAAATCTCTGTTCTCTGAATTTCCTGATGATACGAGAAAAGCAATACCTCAGAAATGTAGTTCATCTGCATTAAGTTCTCCAGGAAATTTCTCTGTGACAAAGAACACACCGTGCTGAAGATGTAAACATCCGTGTGTCATTTTCCCCAGAAACCAACAGGTAAAGAAAAGTCTAAACACGTAAATATATTCTTATTGGATAAAGAGTATGCGGTGCGGGTGTGGGGGAGATGGGTGTGTGGAGTACCATGTTCCAAAAAATATGCCTTAATTATATTTACAAAGCCAAATTTAGTTTGTAAAGCCCAGTGAACCTTTTATGTGCTACTTTTGGGGAGCTGAGACTTGGTAGTTTTTAGTACAATACCTCACAACTCGTCTTAAGTCTGCCGTGATTCCAATATGCCATATTTAGTGGCATTTCCACAGTAGGGTCTTGCTTCATTCTAGGACAAGACTTTCTGCTCTGTTTTTTCTCCTGATAGATCCTGCAATAAAACTACTTAAAGACATAAAGTTACAGTTTGGCAATATTTAGGGAAAATGTCTTACATGTAAAAAATTCAAAATAATGTTTCTTTTGCTCAAAATTTAGGAAGTAAATGATCAATAACCCTGCAGTCTTAAAATACCGTTGCCTATACTGTGAAACGCAAGCTCTTCTTGGAAACAACGCCTGCCATTTTGTAGGTGGCTCCCAAGTATTTCACTAGACACAAATAAGGAGTGACTGGTTTATCCATTTCCTTAGAATGACTAGCGACTTACAAACAGAAAAATACAGTGCAAATATTTTAGATGTATGGCTCAATGCTTTCTTTCAAGAATACCAGAGTCCAGTGACAACCATTAAGAACATTATAAATTTATCTTTGGGTATAGAGTGAAAAGCAGGCAGCATTGTACAAGGGACTTGAGGCAATATTTTTAAACCTAGGATTTTCTAGTTTTTCTTGAATATGGCTCCCAAAGGGAAATATACATGTCAAAACAAAGCAGGCGGAAGCAAAAGAATTCACACAGAGAGAGATTTAATTGCAGGGGGATTCGACATTGCCTCCAGGCATGTTTGCGATAAGAGTATTAATGGCTGGGTAAGAAACACGGCAAGAAATATTTGACGTTGCTCAAGGAACAATAAAAGACCTGGAACTTGCCTTAATTCAGTGGAAAGGAGGAATAAGGGGCACATTTTTACTTACTTATATAAATCCTTATCCACTGCTATGTAGAGGACAGGATCCCAGAAGGAATAGAGCTCAGGACCTGTGGGAACATGAAACCAGAAAAATGGACACCGTGATCCCAGGGGCCGGACATGGGCTGACGTCCAATATCCGACTGACCTTGACGTTCACTGTTCACGTAAGGGGACTTTGTCAAGCAGCTGATCTGTGCTGTAATCCTGACGCACGCCCTCTTTGGTTTAGAATTGTATTTTCTAGATCTAAAACTTGAGATGTACTTATACATTCATAGAAAAATGCCATTTCCTGCTACATGACTGATCTTCACAGTTTTGGAAATGACTTATATTGTCCCTTTCTTTTTCCTAACCTTCCTCAACCCTTCCTTCCTTCCTTCAACCTTCCTTCAAAGAACATGACGTGGTCCAACCTGTGATATTCCACCTGGACTTCTGGTCCATAAGGACTTGGTGGCTGGTGCTGGCGATACTGGCAGAGATGACTTTCAGCTTCGGGCCCCTCGATATGGCCTCAGCTTCCCCATCCACCTCTCCCAAGGCCACCTCCTGTCCCCCAGCAGTTCGTATCTGCTCCTCCTCAGCGTGGACAGACAGAGGCTGGGGTATTATGCAGCTACAGGAAGATTCTGAAGGTCGTCGCCATTCCAGAACTTGCCGTGGGCTTGTTTAAGGTTCTTACTAGGCCTCAATCTCGGCTTGTCTCCTGCTGCTGTCTGCAGAAAACCCGAGGCACGGGAGCTGCGGGGCAGGGTAATGAAATGGGGTGGCCCCCGCGCAGAAGAGGTGGGCCGGCAGCTTGGGTAACAGTAAATCTTTTAGCCAGCATCGATACAGCGTTATTAACTAGTGCCCGTCGTTCACATCACGGTCACTCTGGTGGTGTACATTCTGGGGGTTTGACAAAAGTCTAAGGACGTGTCTCCATCATTGAGTAATTTCAGTGCCCTGAAAATGCTTTGCATTTCATCTATTCATCCTCCCCTCCCCCCGAATCCCTGCCAATTGCTGATACTTTACTCTCTCCATATTTTACATTTTCCAGAATGTCACATAGCTGTGATCGTACACCAGGTAGCCTTTCCCCACTGGCTTCTTTCACTTAGTACTGTGCTTTTAAAGTTCTTGCATGTCTCTTCATGGCCTGATAGCTCATTTCTTTTTAGCCGTGAATAATATTCCATACTATAGATGTTTGTTTTTAAGTGCTATAGCACATATGAAAAATGATGTAATTAAAATGTAATGAAAGATCGTAGCAAATCCCAGAAAATCCAGTCTAGCCAAAACATAACCCATGAGGGGAAAAAAAAAAATCTCTCTGATTTATTTTAGCGACTAACATAAAAGAATTTCATTTAGGAAAACAGAAACTACAAAAAATGAGAAAATTTAACTACTGAAATGTGAGAACACGAAGCTAAGGAAATAAGATCAAAACAGCATCATTATAGAACTCCTAAGTAAATTAGAAAAAAGCATAGCAGCATAATAAAGACAGCTGATGACTGAATTATTAATAAATAGTAAGACTTTGGGGCAAGGGCAGAGAAGGCAGAAGAAAAGCCAAATAAATTAGAGCACGTATAAAAAAAGGTCAAAAGTTGCTTCACAGAGGACAGGAAAATTACTGTTCCTAAAATAAAGTACAAAATAAATAATTCAGTTCGGATACACAAAGATTAAATTAAAGGAAAACCATGTTTATGAAGCTCCCACACAGAATTATTAACTGGAAAACGTCTTGATATTTCAGGAGTAAAGCCACATTCAGAAGTGCAGGCCAGGGGGGCTGAAGGAGGAGGCATCCCCACACTCCGGGGAGGGAGGAATCTGAGAATGCTGCTTTCCAAGCTACTACCAGTGGACTGCAATCCCCCAGAAGTGCCTTCAAAGCCTCAGGGCTAGCCGTGTGGTCCCACCTGCACCCAGGCCCCGCCCCCACCCCAGGCCCCAGCCGACCCCCCACCCCCACCCCCGGCCGCTGGGGCGGGACCTCCAGCCCCCGGTGTCCCCAGGGGCCCCGAGCACCTGCTCTGGACTCCCCACGCCACGTTCACTGTTTTTTCATCGCGGCATTTGGGGTCCCAGTTTATGTGAATCCAAACCAGTCGTCAGGGTATCGGAGCCGTCGGAGAGAAGCCCGGCGGGTGGAGGGAGGCGCGTGCCCGTGGGGACAAGCAGAGCTGAGCGCTGAGGGGCCAGGCTTCCCCCGGGGTTCCGGGGGGGCCGAGCAGACCCCGTGTCCCCTGCGCGCCTGAGCAGCGCCTCGGGCAGGCGGCAGGGTCAGGGCCCCGGGGACCGCGGCGGGGGCGGCCCCAGCACCCGGGGGTCACACTCGGGTCACTGCCCCGGACAGGCCTCAAGGCCAGGGCCCCGGGGACCGCGGCGGGGGCGGCCCCAGCACCCGGGGGTCACACTCGGGTCACTGCCCCGGACAGGCCTCAAGGCCAGGGCCCCGGGGACCGCGGCGGGGGCGGCCCCAGCACCCGGGGGTCACACTCGGGTCACTGCCCCGGACAGGCCTCAAGGCCAGGGCCCCGGGGACCGCGGCGGGGGCGGCCCCAGCACCCGGGGGTCACACTCGGGTCACTGCCCCGGACAGGCCTCAAGGCCAGGGGCCTGGGGACCCCGGTGGGAGCGGCCCCAGCAGGGGGTTAGGGCCTCGGAGGCCCCCGGCCCGGCGCCCCAGGGACTGTGCCCGGGAAAGGCCTGCAACCCCTCGGAGCGGCGCCTTCCCTCCTGCGCGTGAGGACGAGGCCCTGCAGCAGGTGGGAGAGGCGCGTGGTCGCCGGGACCCCCCCGGGGTGAAGGCCTCACCCTGGGGCTGCGGGTCCGACCTGGTCCGCTGTGCCGCGGAGGTCCTCCCGGGTGTCCCCCAGGCTCGCAGATGGCGCGGGGCGGGCGGGCCGAGCAGGTGCCTGCGTGTGTGTGTGCGTGCGCGCGCGTGTGTGCATGTGCATGTGTGTGCGCGCGTGCGTGTGCGTGTGTGTAGGGCGGGGGGACAGGGGGCATGATAGCTTACCGCACCAGCCGCCCTGCGTGTCTACCTGGGGTCCCCGCAGGTATCGGGCGGGCGCTGCCTGGAGCGCAGGTCCACGGTGGCGGCTCCGCCTCCTGTGGCTTCGTGTCCGCAACGAGAGGTGGCGGCTGCAGACCCCACACACGGCTGGGACGCACGAACTCGGTGGCTGAGATTCTGGGTTTTACTCCAGTGGTAGCCACAGCCAGCCGGGAGGAGGTCAGAGGAGCGTGTCACCGAGACCCCGGGTCATCTGTGTGTAACGGCCTAGGAGACTTTCAGGGGTCCTTCTTTGAGGGCACAAGTGTTCCTTTTGGGGGCAGAACCCGAACTATTTGTTCACAGGGACCGGTGCGGTGGCCAAAGTGTGGGGACTGCGTCCAAGGTCGCTAGATGTCCGCGGCATCCACTCTCCCCTCCTTCCAGAGGAAGGGGACTTCAGATGTTTGCAGAGGTCACGATGAATCTGACGTTTGAAGCCCTTCTTCTATGTCAGCCCACGGAACCAATTTCCGGTGAAGGGGACATACAAGAGGGGTTGGCGCCTCTCCCGGAAGTCTCTTTAATGGAGGAGAATATTCCATTCTCTGCTTCAGGTCTTCCTGCAGCCTGGGCTGGAGGTGAGGCCCCTGCCGGAGGGAGCATCTCTGACGATAAAGTCACGTATGATAGACCAAACACAAGAGGCCAGCATCCTTGACCACGGGATGCCGTCTTCACCCAAAGTGGGCGACTCTCTACAGACTTCTGCAAGAAAGAAAAATCTCACGTTACAGTTGGCTATTTCTTACAACTCACTATAATCCTAATCAACAGACCAAGCAGAGACACTCATGATGTTTTTTATAAGCAACAGGCAGCCATTGGATTGTTTTATTCAGAGAAATAGCAGACGTATGTGTGTTTTAGCAAAATCACATTGAATTATTGAGTGCCATACTCAATAGTCGCGCTCACCAGCAAAGAGGCGATTGGGACAAGGCCGAGGAGGCTTATGAGGAGAAAATGGAAGGGCACATTTATGAACATACTGGGGTTGGGGACCTGTGAATCGTTCTGATAGATAAGCCCAGCACATGTGACCCCGCCCTTCAGTGTCCAGGCCTACAGAGAACACAGTGAACACAGGGTGAAGAGTGGTAGTGATCACTGCTAAAAATTATGAACATCAGTGATATGTTCAAGTACATGGATTGTAAATGATGGGCAAAAACAAAGTCCAGCAGTTTGGAAAGAACCACAATGCCTAGAGAGACAGGAAGAGTTGTGTACCTGACTCAAGATAAAAGCAGGTAACGGGGAAAAAAGGAAGTAGTACATCCATAGATAACACCAGCACAGCAGAGGGCTCATTAGCATATGAAAGAGAAAACTTTCAATGAGTATTTTGGCAGTGAGGAGGGTACCAAGACGCTTCAGAAGGACATGTTTCAGTAGATGAGCAGCATACGAGCCAGAAATGAGTAACTTCTTAAACATCTTCTAGGACGCCTGGGTGGCTCAGCCGGTTAGGCCTCTGACTTCAGCTCAGGTCATGATCTCACAGTTCGTGAGTTCGAGCCCCGCATTGGGCTCTGTGCTGACAGCATGGAGCCTGGAGCCCACTTGCAGTTCTGTGTCTCTCCCTCTCTCTGCCCCTCCCCTGCTCTCTCTCTCTCTCTCTCTCTCTCTCTCAAAAACAAGTAAACGTTAAAAAGTAATTTAAACATCTTGGTGTAACTTAGTGACCTGTGCATGGTAAGATGTTGCTATCCACCAAAATGGGGTGGACACTTTGAAGATTAGCTCTCATTTTTGAGTCTTGGTGAAAGGTAAGTAGATCGATTTATCTTTCTTGATGATCGATTTTATAAAACCACACATTTAATAATATGGGTAATGTTGCTGACAACTAGTAATTTGAAACAATACTTGAGTACATGGCAAAAACCAATGTCTCACTGATCCTGAGGAGGCTAAGTGGTAGGGGTCTGCTCTTCTGGGAAGGGGGACTGCCCATTCTCCTGGTGTCACATTTTCATGGGGACAGTTTTCCACAAGGCATGGCTGGGCTTTCTCTATGCTCTTCGCCGCAGGGAACTTCTCTACTTGAAGAGAGGGTGCAGGTTGGGGTCACCATGGGAATGGCCCAGTTTATAGACTAAAAGACCATAAGAAACGGGAATGTGTTGCCTTTCCTTCCTCTCTGTCCCAGAGCAGTGTGAGGAAACAGCCCTTCTGAGCATGACTGTTCAGCAGATGCACACTTTTTCTCCTCTGCATGAGTTCTCCATGGTGTCCCACAAGACTGAAGGGCAGGGGGGAGAATGTGGCTCATGCAGTGAATATGGTGGTCCCGGTCCTTGATCTCATTGGGTTTAGCAAGCAATGCAAAGAACAGGTAAGTAAATGGGAGATTACAAGACAATGAATACAGTGCTTTGAGAGGAAAAGTGTCAGTTATAGTGAATATCAAGCATGTTTTCTGGTTGACCAGAGCCTTTGAGCACCCTTAAGATTTGGGTAGAATTTTCAGCTTTATGAGACCCAATTGCCCCAGGTAGAACCTTAAGGACTCGAGCCTTTATTTAAGGTTCTGTTAATCAGAACAATTATTATAAGGAACTATTATTATAAGGTTGGAAGGGTGCATCCCGAGAAGGACACTCTGCTGAATTCATGATGCCAACATGGAGAGTGGCAGTGACCTCCCACATTCAGATGGAGGAGCAGTTGCAGAGGAAGGTCCTGGCCTAGATCTGAAGTGCGAGCGAGTAGGGGCAGTGATAGCAGTAAAGTTAAATCTGTAAGAGCCCCACAGAGTAGGGCAC